AAAAAAAAAAAACAAAACCAAGAGAAAACAAATATCTTAAGTCTGACATGGTCCTCACATATGTATACTGACAATCCATATAAAATAGTGCTTCTATACAAGAAAAAAATAAAAAATATACTCTTGTTTAAATAAAGAAAGAAATGCTCGATGCCACAAGAAAAATAGATTGCCTTCATCGGAATCAAAGTGTTAAATTACCTATTATCGTAATCTGAACTAGGTACTGACTACATTTGAGTATTGTCCAGTGGAGCCGAACCAACACGCTGCCAAGCATTCCTATCCTCAAGATAATCAATCACCCTGTAGTACGCTTGTTTACATAATTCGCGCTTAATATATGTTTTAAATTTACTTTCATTTAGATCTAGTATGCTATTTGGTATTTTATTATAGCATTTAATACCTAACCCCATAAAGGATTTCTGTACCTTGGACAGTCTGAATTGCAGTACAGCTAACTTATTCTTGCCTCTAGTATTAAGATTGTGTCTATCGCTTCTTTTTTCGAACAATTGCCTATTCTTTCTTACATACATTATATTTTCATATATGTATTGACAGGGCACCGTTAAGATGTTTATCGTTTTAAACAATTCTCTTAGCGATTCGCAACGGCGTAAGTTATATATTGCTCGGATAGCCCGCTTTTGAAGAATAAAAATTGATTCTATTTCTGCAGCTCGACCCCACAACAAAATGCCGTACGACATAATGCTGTGAAAGTAACTAAAATAGACAAGCCTTGCCGTATCTACGTCCGTGAGCTGTCTAATCTGTCTAACTGCAAAAGCAGCTGAGCTTAATCTCCCCGAAAGCGCCTTTATATGTGGGCCCCATTGTAGTCTATTGTCTAATGTAATGCCTAAAAATACCGTCTCGTCGACAAATTCTAACTTTTGGCCGTTTAAAACAACATCACAATCATTACTTCGGACGTTTGGTAAACTAAATTTAATACATTTTGTTTTTTTCTCATTAAGCGCTAGATTATTAATGGTGAACCAGTTTTGCACTCGAAGAATGGAGCTGTTTACGTCGTCAAGATTATTAGCACGTCGATCTATTTTAAAAATTAATGAGGTATCATCTGCAAAAAGCACCATTCTTGGTTCATTCTTGAATATAAATGGCAAATCATTTATATAGACTAAAAAGAGAAAGGGACCCAATATTGAACCCTGTGGAACGCCCATATTCATCGTAGAGCCCATTCTTTCTGCCGCCTGTTTAGACAAGCAGGTGTGTTTAGCTACACCTACAGAAAAAACCCCTAAATTAAAACTGAAAAAATACCCCAAACTAATAAGAGACAAAGTCCAAAAACGGCGAAAATTGAGGAAAGAATGGTAACAAACAAGGTATCCTTCAGATAAAACCAAGTTTAATGAAGAAGAATTAAAGTTAGTTATCAAAGACCTGGAGAATCACACGGTGCAGAGTACATTGGCCCATTTAACTCCCCATAACGACACCAAGTATGACCAAGTATGATATTATGTACACCAGGCTGTTGATGATGATAGACGAAGTATTCCAAGTATTCCTTTTAGTGCGCAACAAGGAAATTGAAGCGGCCAGATATACATGTTCCACCATTAAGGTAACAGTACAGTGACTGGGCTAGATCTGATCTAGAAAAAGCAACAGTAGTCGCTGAATATCTTCAGAGTATCTTCAAACCTTTCCCCAGTAATAACCCAGAAAACGATAAAGAAATTACAACCTATTTGAAATCTCCTAACCAGCTTTGTGCACATATTAAACCAGTAAGTCCTAAAGAGATAGATAAGATGATTATGGCTCTGAAATCTGGAAAAGCCCCTGGATATGACCTTATAGACTCTACACTGATGAAAAACTTGACGAGAAAATGAATAATCTACTTAGTAAACATTTTAATGCCTGCATGAGGCTTTCACATTATCCAAGCCAGTGGAAGATTGCTCAAGTTGTTATGATCTCTACACCTGGCAAACCAGTAGATGAAGTGACGTCATACCGACCAATTAGTCTTCTCCCTCTTCTCAGTAAGATCTTTGAAAGGATTATCATCAATCGTCTCAATCCACACCTAGATAGAGTACTTCCAGAACATCAATTTAGTTTTCGACATAGCCATGGTACCGTCGAGCAAGTACACAGATTGGCAGATACTATCGGTCATACAATTGAAACCAAGCAATATTGCTCGGTTGCATTCCTGGATATTAGTCAGGCCTTTGACAAGGTCTGGCAAGAGGGTCTACTGTACAAAATCAAGAAGTCTCTGACACACTCCTTTTTTCCAATACTTGAGAGTTACCTAAACAAAAGATGCTATGAAGTCAAATTCAATGGTGAGACATCAGAATTGTGTGAAATACAATCAGGAGTTCCACAGGGCAGCATACTGGGGCCTGTTTTGTATCTTCTGTTTACTGCAGATACAAAACAGGCCCCACGGCCCCCCTACTGGCTACTGGGTACTAGTCGAGTTCTTCGTCAAAATACTACGTGAGTAAGCCGAAAACATAATAATTTATTTAGTATGTCTCACGAAAGTTACAATACAGAAATCATACTGTGATGATGGGACCATTTAATCGGGATAACATCAATCCTATCACCTAAGTCAGCTCATACCCTGCTTGTAAACTGAATTTCATCAAAAGTAATTTTAGCGTGATTAACGGACGAACATACAAACAAAGAAACTTTCACATATATAATATTAGTGTGATATTAGATTAGATATTATATTTTAACTCGTCGAGTACCGGTTTTGTAGACACAATTATAGAACAATAGGTTGCGGTCACCGGTGACCGCTTGGTGTTTGACAGTTTAATAATTACCTTTTTCTTTTTACTACTAGCCTGGCTGAGAATCTCATCGTCCGAGGATATGCTGTCCAGTGATATTGTCTCTAGCTCCGGTGGAGGCGATGGGCTTGAGGATTCTGTGTCTGAAGGCGGCTCTGCTCCATCTAGTATTGCTAGGAGCCGTTTCGAACTTATCCCAAGGAGCTGGAAAAGAACACGTAACATAACATAACATCACGCCTTATTATCCCTAAAGGAGTAGGCAGAGGTGCACATTTCGGCACTTCAGAAACAGAACAAAAAATGAATATTTAAAATTTGTTATGAAAATGAATATTTTTGATATTCTCTCAGCCTTGTTTACTATGCTATGTTGGCCTGGGTCAAGAAATGCAATAGTGACCCATATCAGACTCCTATTACAGCTCCATAAAAAGATTCCTTGTAAGAGATCACCTAGTGCAACAAGTACAACCAATTGTACACTATATTTATTTTTTGATGTCCTATATATACAATAAAGTATACATAAACAAATAAATATTGTGTATTTTCAATAATAGCACAGCTTGTTACATAGGACTCATAACATAACATAATTTGTGAAAATAGTTAGTATGTACACCTTACTGCGTGTTTCACGATAGAAATATATTGTAAATATGTGTATAACATGAAGAAATGGACAAATTCTTCAAGATCTTTTACAGTTGGTCGTGCTATGAGACCTCAACTCAAATAAAATCTTGATAAAAATAAGTAATTCAAAGATAAGATATCCAACCTCTTCCGTACATAGTTCCTGCAGATCGTCTATGGATATATTTCTAATGCTGGCCGGTAACATACTCTTCAATTCTTTGTATTTTATCACAGAAAATACTTGGTGCATCAACTCGACACGATCATGAATATAATACGCCAAATCGTGGACTTCTTCTAATTTTGTAGACGCAGAAGGTTCTGGTGTCTCCGTTTTCACTTTGTGCTTCGATCGCTTCATTTTTAATTATTTAATTTAAATTAAGCTGGAGCGACTTCGTTCGTGATTCTACAAAAACATTGAAAATATTATTCGACCGAATGAAAAAGGTGGTATCGTTGAAAAAAACGGGATACAACAGTGGCTCCGTAATTTTGTGGCATTATAATGTCGGATGTTGTCACATTTGACCTACTTACGGATGCGTTCATGATTATTATTTTTCTTGTAATACTTAGTCGAATACTGGTAACATTGGTAAAATGGAAATAAAAAAACAATAATTTTGATTTCTGACTTGCTTTCAGAATTATAATTTCTCTGGCATTTGTTTTGTAGTCTTTTCTGTCATAAAAATTGTGAGTGATTTTTAAACTTTGCTAAAGTAAATGGAACTTATATAAAATAATTCGGTATCCGCTGGGCAAAATGCCACTAGAGGATATTTTTAACGCTTATTTTGATAGAGCATTGCAAACAGCATTTAAATCTCTATTAATGATATTTTGCCCTAAGGTTTCCGAGTGTATTCGGTCTTTAAACTCAGTAAATAATAAACCTTTCGAATTAAAAAATCTTCAATATTAAATCAAGTATTATTGGATTACAATTTTTTTTATGAACGCATATTATTGAAATACTGCGGGGTACTGTGTCAACAAAGATGGCTGTTGAAAAGTTGTATGAAAGTGATAATTATTTGATCGTAAATAAGCCTTACGATATGTATATTAACTCGGACGATGAACATGAGAAGGTAAGCTTATTAATTCGTACAAAAACGTTTCAAACTTCATGCATAAAAGGTTATGTTTACTATCAAACTCTTCGCTATGGCAAGTGATGTGTCAGTGTGGTATATTTGTCGATATCGAAGAAAATGTTGTCAGATTGTTATTACTTATTTGGATGTGGTTCATGGTACACAGGACTGCATTCTTACTGCTTCTTCTTCCTGCTCTTATCCTAAGCTATCAACTCAAGACCAGCACAATACATCGCGTTATACTGTTTATCGGACATCATCCTGTTTCTCTGCAATAATTCTATATTTTTTACAGAATACAGTGACATATCATATTGCGTCACCGGACTCCCATCTCTCGTCTTCATTATTCCCTCTTCACTTTGTACAACGATTGGACTACGCTACAAGTGGCGTGCTATGTATTGCCAAGAACAAATCGTCTGCCGCGCAAGCGGGCAAACTATTTGAACAGCGAATAACAAAGAAGTATTATCTCGCTGTGGTAAGAGGTCATGTGACGTTTGAAGTGGCTGATATTGAGTTTAATGTTGGTAAGTTTAATCTGAAATTGTGCACCCCTAAATTTGTTCATACAAAAGTAGTCTCTAAACATTGGAAATAAGGTATATAATGTGGAGAGCGGTCACCGGTGACCGCTTGGGGGGGGGGGGGGGGGAAATACGGGTTTGTACTACGTTTTATTTTAGCACAACTTTGTTCTAACGTTTAAACAACGTCGTTTCCAAGTGGGCTGTGGTTGAAACTAACTCATAACGTTCTTGTTAGTTGAGTAGATAGATATTTTAACTCTTAAATGATGTCGAATGCAATTTCCGAAACGGTAAGATTTTTAGTCTGACTAGAGCTTTAATACTCGAAGTGTGGACTATGGTGATGATAATAGCTATGACTATGGTGATTTTATTTTTGCAGGGGTTGATCCGTCCACAGCGGACTCTAGTCACCGAATGTCTGCGCTGACCACAAGTGAAGCGTCGGTGAGATGTCTTCAGTCGCGACACGCACACACGCGCAGTCTACGGCTAGAAACAGGCTACTACGACAACAGCCCCGTCTCAGTTCTACTGCTAAAACCTATCACAGGTAAGCAATTGATAAAAGTTCCGTACCTTGTTAATAAATTATTAACTTCCACGACGCACGATTTTAGTCGCCCCATCTTTTTGTATACGTATAGATATTTATTTATCTCGACTTAATAATATCTGTGTTTGTATCTAGGTCGCCGTCACCAGCTGCGTGTGCATTGCAGCGCAGTCGGGCACACAATACTCGGCGACTACACGTACAGCGGCACAAAGGACAGCATGCCGCACCGAATGTTCCTACATGCTACTAGGTAAATAATAATTATCATCAGACAAGTGCAAAAGTTACAAAACAAGGTAATAATTGGAGCATGAGCATGGTCCCGTACAGTTCGGTTTCAGAGGAATTTTCTCCCACGGACGCTCCAATTGTGGAATGAACTCCCCTGTCGTGGTTTACCCAGTGGGCTACAACATGGGGTTCTTCAAGAGGGAAGTGAATAGGTTTCTTAAGGGTCGGTAAGACGCATGTAATGCCCTAAGTGTTGCAGGCGTACATAGGCCACGGTAACCGCTTACCATCAGGTGGTCCGTGTAGTTTTTTGCCACCGCCGTGGTTTAAAAAAAATCGTGGTTCAGATGCATCAACAACCCGTGATAGTCCCTTGCTAGACTAAATACGTCTTCTACATCCTCTGAGAAGGCATGATGGTACATTAATGTAATATTATATTTTTCAGATTAGTGTTACCCCTTCCTGACGAAGATTTGGACATACAGACACCAGAACCTTTCTTCTTGGACCCAAGATTTATTTCTAAATGGAAATCGGAGACGGCATATTATAAATACCGAAGTAAAGAAGACTTTTTAGCCGTCTGCGATATTTTAGACAAATCTTATGTGATAGGTGTGCAGTATAAAATGTTTAAAATGTAATCTGTTTACAATTTTATAATTTATTTTTAATCATTTATAAAAAAAGAAAAGTTATTGAATTTCTTGTGTTTTACTGTTGGTCATTCATAGCCGGCACGATAACATCATATTTAGCTAAATTAACGCCCACCTCAAATGATGATAACCAAATTGGTGCACAACACGATAACGTACGTGACTAATCAAAGAACAAAATCGTTACTTTTCTATGAATTTTGTATTGAGATTGCAACAATGGTGTCATGAAATTTTTGCGATAAATGGCACAACAAACATTTAATAATTTCATTGTATTAATATTTTTTGCGAGTTATCTCGGGAACCGAAGGCAATACGTCGACTACTGTGGACATGTATCAGACCAATATCGCACGCTATCTGGTGTAAGCCAGGGTAGCAACCTTGGGCCATTAGAATTTATTCTAATGATTAATGATCTACCAGAGGTGGTCCAGAATGCGTGTTGTTTGCTCTTTGCTGATGACTTAAAGCTTTTTCTACGTGTGGTCGATAAAGAGGATTGTAAGCGCCTACAAAATGACATTGATCTGGTAATTGATTGGAGTCGGAAAAACAAACTCTTCTTCAATGTCAACAAGTGCAATATAATGTCTTGCACGCGTGCCATGTCTCCGGTGCATCATCGATACCACATGGAAGACAGTGTCATGCCTCGTGTTGAATCGGTCCGGGATTTGGGAGTGCTTATGACCAAAGATTTGTCATTCAGGGAGCATATCGCGAAGGTTTGCTCTAAAGCTTACAGAAGTTTGGGTTTTGTAATGAGAGAGACAAAGGATTTTAAAAGTATAGCAACAATAAAAATATTATACAATGCTTTGGTTAGGAGTCAATTAGAGACGAGTGCTATAATCTGGAACCCCCATGAGATGAAATACAGCCTCATGGTGGAGAAGATGCAAAACAAGTTTACTCGGTACCTGTACCTAAAACAATATGGAGTGTACCCGTATTACCCACTCATGTATCCTTCTCTGTTTGTTATTGGCATGGTGGGATACTATAAGCTGGAGGTCAGGCGAGAGGTTGCACTCGCAAAGTACGTGTTTGAGGTTTTCCGGGGTAAGCAGAACAATCCATCCATACTGGCTTCGTTGAGGTTGCTCGTCCCAAATACAAAGCTAAGGCTGAGCCCGAGGCAGAGACTATTTGAGGTCCCAACCAGTCGCACTAACATAGGTCGATATGCTCCTGTGGCTAGAGCTATTAAAATAATTAACAGAGTTGGACAAAAGGTTGATATTTTCTGTTGCTCATTGGCGGAGTTCATAAAGGTAACGACTGATGTTGTTAGTTGTACATATGTAGTTAATGGATAAGTACATAGTTGTTATAAGTTTTTATATTAAGTTTTTATTTAAGTTTTTTTTTTATTAATACTAATTATAAGTTTTTACATTAAGTGACAACATTATCGCATTGGGTGTAACCTGTTAGGATGTGTTGAATTAAATAAAAATAAATAAATAAATAAATAAATAAAAAGACATGAAGATGAAGCACATCGTCAAATCAGTGAATGAAAGTATGCCTATTTTTGAAATACTTTTTTGGACTGAAAGTCAAAATAAATTGTGACTGAAACTACCCAACAACTACATACAAACCTTCCTTAAGAATCACTCTATCTATTAAAAAAAACCGCATCAAAATCCGTTGCGTAGTTGTAAAGATCTAAGCATACATACGGACATACAGCGAAAGCGACTTTGTTTTATACTATGTATTGATTTTATCGATAAAACAAAGTGAAGTAATAGCATCATCACTATAACTGTCAAACGTGAACAAGCTGTTATGCATGTCAAATCGATTTTTGTTTTGACATTTTGTCGACGACGTCTCAGTTCGCGTTTGGTACTCTGGTACCTATGTTATTTGTTATTATCGTGTAAAACTAACATAATTCATGATGGAAATGGAGACGGATCCGCTGGAGGGAAGCAGCTACGATGTAGGAGTGACGGTGAAGGCGGAAATCAAGGAGGAGAACGAAGATGATCACTACAATACGATGTTAGTTTTTTATTACTGTTAATTGCTTTACGATTTTACTTTGTCATGTTATTATCGGAGAATGAGTTGGTCGCCTTTTGTAGTATTTGCATTTCCCTATTAGCATTTTTCCTTGGCTTTGCCCGCGTCTGCAAAGTTTCTAGAAGATTGGTTAAGTAGTTGAAACGTAAAGACTTAACTCCGCTCCTAAAGATACTCGCCGACACTTATCTAACTTACTTTTATATTAGTTACCTTGGAATTATCTACAAACGTAACATCACGCTTTTAAATCCCCAAAGAGGTCAGTAGAAGTACATATAGAATACCCACTACTAGCCCGTGCCCATTTGAATTCTAATTGCATTTGCATCCCCATCATATATATGGTTGGCAGGCCACAACTGTGCGCTTCTCACGTAGCTTCTCGCCTCGCACAGCAAAACTGTGGAATGATCTGTTGTCGGCGGTATTTCTGAACCGATACAACCTTCAAAAGTTCAAGAAAAGAACGTAGTTATTAATTTTTATAAAGCCGGCAACGCACCTGACTAACTGCGCTGGTGTTGTGGGTGTTCATGGGCGGCTCTAATTGCTTACCATCAGGTGATCCGTCTGCTCATTTGCCTACTATGTCCTGGTACTGTTACTGAAATATGGGAGAAAACAGTAACCGGTGTTATTCCCTGAAATCTAATGGCAAAATAACCTTTTTAATCACTTTATTTGGTTCAGAGTATAGGTATTCAATGCAAACAAAAATATTATTTCTAACCCATAAATCCCCAAGCGGTCACCGGTGACCGCTTTCCACTAATATTACATTACATTATAGACCTTATTTGTAATGTTTAGAGAATACTTTTGTATGACCAAATTTAGGGGATGGATATCAACGGATTAAATTAGTATATTATGTAAATATCAATTTGCTTTGTTGCTATATTTCAGCAGGGCATAAATCTTAAGTTAGGGTGCCTATTAAACTATCAAACACCGAGCGGTCACCGGTGACCGCAACTTATTGTTCTATAATTGTGTCTACAATGACGGTACTCAACGAGTGAAATAAATATAAACTAAATAATCAATAACTAGAAAAACTAAAGTATTTAAGTTCAACTGAAATTAATGTAAGAAATAGAAAACTATATATCAATTATACATTGGTATTTTAGTTTCAGAGCTTTCATATCATAACATGACATCACGCCTTTTATCCCGAGGTGCACATAACGGCATTTATGCTATAGTACAATGTAACACCCACTTTTCACCATTTATGATATGAGTCCCGTGTAATAGGGAGTGAACCTATTGCTATTATACTGTACTTATATACTGTATTATACTATACTGGGCACATTTCCAGACTCTGTGCTACTACTGAGAATTTGGAAAAACTTAGTAATACTGTACCCGACCCGGGAATCCAACTCAAGATCCCTTGCCCGGCAGACACACTTGTGACCACTGCCAACGAACCAGTCAGGGCTTTCATAGTTTTCTCAATACAAAATTACGGACAAACAGTCAAATATTTTTATTTTATAATACATGTATTATATTCCTTTCCAGGGCCCTCCTAGAACTTGCCCAATGCGTCCAATCAAACCAAGAACCAATCGAATTCAACTCCACAGACGCAATGATGGACCCGAAGACCGGTATGATGATCTGCTTACACTGCCTTGAAGACTTCGACTCGACCCTACTATCAGACCATATGATGAACGCACACAACTACAGACGGGTCCTATTCAAATGCCAGCTCTGCCAGAGTACGTTCCAAGAACGCAAACTCCTAAACATACATCGACAAGAATGCCAACCGGAACAGAAAGTCAGGAAGCGGAAAACGTTTCAACAGATTCTTAGAGATGTTGAAGCGAAGTACTATATGGCTGATCAGCAGGCGTTACTGGAACCAGTGTCTTGTCCGATATGTCTTTTGGAGTTACCGAAGTACTGTTTGAAGGAACATTTGTTGAATGAGCATCGGAAACCGGATGTGATATTGACTTGTGGTCGTTGTAATAGGAATTTTAAATCGAAGTTGACTTTACGAGAGCATGTGAAGTTGGTGCATGAAGCGGTTGAGGATTCCGAAGAGTGTGAGCTTTGCGGACAAAAGTTCAGGTCCCTGAAGTATCTGTCTAACCACAAGAGGAATGTCCATCCTAGCGGTGAGTCCTTTTTAAATACATACATAACATCACGCCTTTTATCACCAAACGAGTAGGCAGAGGTGTACATTATGCCACTGTACAATTTAACACCCACTTTTCACTATTTACGTTACGAGTCCCATGTAATAAGGGGTGAGCCTATTGCCTTATACCGGGCACAATTCCAGTCTCCGTGCTACTACTGAAAATTTATAAAAACCCAGTATTACTTTGTCCGATCCGGGTATCGAATCCGAGACCCATAGCCAGTCATACTTTTTTTACCATTTGATGCCCCAATGTTTGAGCTCTTATCAGTTTTGACACATGAATCTATTTCTCTTACAGGCAACAAGATCCATAAATGCATGGTCTGCGGCAAAGAGTTCAAGTCTCGCCTCTGTCTGCACCAGCACAGTAAATACGTGCACCCACCAGAATCAGCCTCCGTGGAGTGCCCGCACTGCCCAAACAAAATATTCAAGTCCCGGATGAATTTGACTCAACATCTTAAGGTTTCACATGGCTATAAGAGAAGAATGAGTAGTATTCCTACCATGTAAAGTAACTTGTGGTTATCGCGTTTAGCCTTTTGAATGGTTAGTTCATTGGAGCGGCAGCGCCGTACGTCATATACAGGGTGGAAGTCGACGAACAACTACTTTTTTTTTCTTACGGGGGAAAATCATCGAATTACTTCTCCGCCTGTGTGGGGCGGAAGGGTGTGTCCAGTGGCGTGCAGTCCATATAGGCAAAAAGGCTTTGCCTACCTTATAAATATCGTGAATATATAACATACATAAAATGTACAAACGCGTTTATTAAGATTCAATAATGTAATAAAATTTTGTAAAAAAACGGCTAACATAAATATACATTCACATATACTATACACGGACCGCACGCCTTTGGGAGTGTCAGAATCTTACTGACTAAAAACCACCCCGTTCCTACTCTTGCATAGAGTCGAGGTAATTCCTTGCGCTTCTCAGCCCCAGTACAAAATGTACCTATACATGAATAAGGTCTACTGTTCTGATTCACTTCGTTGCGGGAACCAAGAAGTTCATGTCCCTGTGACGCGCCGGACTTCAGTGTTTTGATGGATTTTTATTTATGTACTACTAGCTTCTGCCCGCGACTTCGTACGCGTAATCCTATTTTTCCTGTCCCCGTTCGTGATTTTCGGTAAAAAGTAAAAAAAAAAATTGGTCAAAAAGTATCCTATGTCGGTCTCCTGGCTCTAAGCTACCTCCCTACCAATTTTCAGCCAAATCTATTCTGCCGTTGTTGAGTTATAAGTGGTGTAACTAACACGACTTTCTTTTATATATATAGATTTGCAAACTATAGTGTAAAAGCGTCTTACTATTACAGTATATGGATATACCTATAAATGTAGCTAATATTTGTAAATTACATTTTGAATACGCACGCTTGATCAATAAATTCATGTAAAATTCATTACTTAAATGTTACATATTTTATCTAAGTACGTATATCCTTATACAGTATGAATTTTACATCGTTGTTCTCATCATCAACATTAAAGCGAATGACAGTCCACTGCTGCACTATGAGTCTCCTCTACATAAGAGGGTTTGTCATAATCTCCGCAGGCAGGCGGGTTGGGATCGCAGTATACAAGGTTCAGGTTTATCAGAGAGCGCTGCTGCACGGTCTCTGTCTAATGTGTAGTGTCTTAGTCGAGTATACGACACCCGCGGGAAATCAGTTATGTAAAATTCATGCTGTATGTTTACACAATAAGTAAATCGATTTTCTTGTTTTAACTTTGTAAATAAGTACCTATGTAAATAATGTAAGATCTTTTATCAAAATAAATGTTTTATTCAATCTTAATTTTGACGTTTTTATACATAATGTGGACTTCCGCCGACCCCTTCAACATTATCAAAATATCTACAAAAAATGAATTCTAAGACAAAGTACCTACGTATGTATTTTTTCTAGGTCTATGTTAAGTATGTAGGGCGGGGACATCAACCTACATTACAATCGAATCGATCGATTTAATCATAGTTCAATCGACGAGTCTTTGACCTGTCTGAATGTAGGCACAAGTATAAAAGTGCATGGTATAGTTAAGTGATTTTTTTTAATTTATATAATATAGCTCGGTCGACCGAAATTGTCATAAAAGAGCGGTTCTAGGGCTGGGTGCTTCAGGTTCGATTCCTGACTCAAAAGACAGCTTCCGTTTAAAGATTCTTATTTTCATAATTTCATAAATATTGAGCGCCGTAAATCGTGTCGCGCAATCATCATCATCATCATCATATCAGCCACAGGACGTCCACTGATGAACATTTTTTTTTAAGGGGGAAAATCATCGAATGACTGCTCCCGCCTGGGTGAGGAGGGAGGGAGTGTTAGACTCTTACTGACTAAAAACCACCCCGTTCCTTCTCCTGCACGTCGAGCCGGAGCCCTGGTTACCCGTTAGGTTCTCCGCGACTCCGACACTGCTGAACATACGCGTCCCCCAATGACTTCCAGATAGGCCGGTTGGAAGCGACCTGCGTCCAGCAGCTCCCTAATATATGTATGTCGCGCAATGCTGCTCATGAATATCAGATATTTTTAAAATACGTGTTAAAGACGTGTCCCGCCTGGGTAAGGGTGAAGCGAGAGGGAGTGTTAGACTCTTACTGACTAAACAGCATGTCCCTACTCCTGCAATTCGTGTCGGATCGGCAACCCCAGAATATGAGCTACCGCTACTTGTAGCGATGTATGGTTACTGATGCTTCAATAGGCGTTTAATAAAGTAAGTTATAATAAGAGATAATAAGTATTACTGATTATATATTTTATTAAAGAAATATAACAAAACTATTGGACTTCTAATGCTTTAAATTCCGTCTTATATTATGTAGGTACTTTCTAAGCTGTCCTTTTGGTCAGCAGTGGCTCCTTAGAGGCTGTTGATGTGTAATTCAGATTGCACTAGATCATTGCCTTTTTAAATTCTGCTCAGTTATTCTGAACTTATCAACAATACAACATTCACTGCCTCACATGGAATGCGCCCTTCAATTGGTACCAGAGAGGTTAGTTGGTCATACCATACCACGCTTCGATTATAGATGGCAATATAACGAGCCTGCCAGACTATGCTCCTAGCGCTGCTCATCGCTATGCTCCTCGCGCTGCCGTGATTTGCCGCGATGTTGCCCTCTCTGCCCACACACTGCTCTGTTCGCGCAATTATTCGCGACGCTCCTATTGCCTCGGTCGTCGTTGCTTCCTCGTATTGCCGGACCCTTTGAAACCGACAAAATAGGGAGCAGTGGGCAGGACGAGGAGCATGACATGTGGTATGACGAGTACTACACTGACTCTTCCTTCCTTTCCTCGTTACTTCCCATACCTGTCGTCGAGTGTGTGGTAACTGGTAGGCGCATAAGAGTATCAGAAAACCTGTGTAATTCATCGTTACTGGGAAGGAGAGCTCTCCAAAAATAATAACGAGATCAGATTTACTTGTGAGTGGAAAAATCATCAAATGAAATCTCCTGCCTTGGATGAAACGAGAGGGAGTGTCAGGACGTCTAGTCTGCGTCTGATACAAATCTCACTGACTAAATACTATTTCGTTCCTACACCCGCTTCAAGCCGGAGTCCCGGTAACCAGCAAGGTCGTCGGCATCCCGAGCTCAGTGCAATCAAACAGAGGATTGGCAATTCAGAGCTCTCATTTTACCATTTATTTATTTTCAGTCATGATCATCCCACTGCTTCCACTCCTCTCTATGTTTTATGCGGCCAATCCTTGTCATAGATATCTAGTTCGTCCCGCCATCTCCTTTTGAGCCTGCCTGCCACGATATATTTTAAATATGAAACAATAATATTACTTCGACGTTTCTTGTTTTACATTGATTGGTACTTCTGCGATAGAGCCAGTCCACTCAAGCTGCACATAACTGTTCGGCTCTAACGGGTTAAAAGATTTGGCTTTATGCAAAATATTCAAGATTTCTATCTTGGCATAATGTTTCTGGTCATCATTAAGTTTCCGTAGCATTGGGACGAGCATTTTCGAGAAGTTTACGTCTTCGTCGTATTCACTATTTTCTTCAACATTCGTTTGTTTTTTAGATGTATTTTTACACGGTGATATTGTATTCCCGTTCGTTTGAGAAATATCTTGACATAATTCAACATCAGTACTGTTTTGTGACGTCAAATCAATATTTCTGCTGTTTCTACGTTCCCTCTTCTGTAAAGACGGTATCAAAAACTGTAGGGAATCGTAATGAATGTATTTTTTCTTCTTTATAACGCCGTGGCTAGATTTCCGGCGTCGCATTGCTAACTCTTTAGCAAAACAGTCACGTATATTCTTCCATTTCTTTTGTATTATCGCACCTGTAAGAAGAGTTCAATTAAATTAAAATAGTACAAAATAAAATTTGTACGAAATCGTTGCATAAATAGTGTGTAACTAGGAAGTATGATTTTTGTTTTATTTGACCGCGCTAATTATTTCAGAACTACTGATTGTTAACATAACATAACATCACGCCTTTTATCCCCAAAGAAGTAGGCAGAGGTGCACATTACGACACTTACCGCCACTGTACAATGTAACACCCACTTTTCACAATTTATGTTATTAGTTCCACGTACTAGGGGGTGAGCCTAAAGCCATGTAACTACGGGGTACAATTCCAGAATTCGTACTACTGTGACTTTTCTTAAAAAACCCAGTAATACTTTGCCCGACCCGGGAATCGAACCCGTGACTCCTTATTCAGTGGCATTTGCGACCACTTGGCCAATGAGGCAGTCTAAATTGAGAGTAACACTAATAGAGTACGCTAAAATTCTCTTTCTGACATAATAGTTACTTAACTAGTGCTAGTCTGTCTGTAAACTAAAAAGTCTACTATTTAATGTAAATACATAAGTGATCATTTAGAAAATACTTTAGTTCAGCGAAATTTTATCGCAATAATTTTTTATAAGTACTTAATCCGATAATTTTAAATACCACTCTGTTATGAAAAGCACTGGACCGAATCGAATTAAACTGTCAAACACTGCGAGGACACCGGTGACCGCAACCTATTGTTCTTTTATTGTGTCTATGATGACGGTACTCGACGAGTTAAACTGTCAAACACTGCGAGGACACCGGTGACCGCAACCTATTGTTCTTTTATTGTGTCTATAATGACGGTACTCGACGAGTTAAACTGTCAAACACTGCGAGGACACCGGTGACCGCAACCTATTGTTCTTTTATTGTGTCTCTAATGACGGTACTCATCGAGTTGTATAGACATCGTACAATAACCAGCCTAACGAGTTGTAGGCTAAGCTAGTAGGTACATTATTTATACTGATTTTTATTTTAAATGCAAAATGGTTAAGTGCTGCCGAAAAGTATGAAAAAATACTTCTAAAGGCACAAAATAAATTCTCTTTTCTTAAAACTCTTTTTTGTAATTCCATATTATATCCTGTTTATTTAATTTGTGTATGTATGTACGTATGTATGTATGTAATGTACCTGCTTTAAAATTAGATATAGGTACTCTATTTCTTCTAACGAAAGTTGGCAACCCTAACTACACGTTCATTGAGTATCCTTGTGTTTCACAGTTTACTCAAAATAAAGAGTTTTACTTAATTTAATATAATTTTATAATACAAACTGTAGCTTAGGTAGCATTATCTATTAATTTTAATAGATGAACAATAATCAATACATAGTATAAAACAAAGTCGCTTTCGCTGTATGTCCGTATGTATGCTTAGATCTTTAAAACTACGCAACGGATTTTGATGCGGTTTTTTTTAATAGATAGAGTGATTCTTAAGGAAGGTTTGTATGTATATACATATTGCACCCGTGCGAAGCCGGGGCGGGTCGCTAGTTATGAATAAATCCTCACCTTTCCTTTGCTTCTCCTCTTCCGATAGTTTCGTCCAATTATTTACAAGGTTTTGATAGACTTCCTCCCAAAGCATATTTTTTAAATTCCTTTCACCTTGAGAACGTAACTTTTCGTATAATGGCGGCCTTTTTTGCACTTCCATTATAATTTTTTGTGATAAACACTCGTACTCTGCATTTGATACTGATTCAGACTCGCTTGACGACATAATTTGATAATTTTAATTAAACGAGAACACAACACGACTATACTTCGCAACGATCGACTGAATACTGAACAAGGAAAAGAAAAAGCAATTCTGACCAACTACCTAGCGGTTTCTTTTTGCGGTTACCCCACACGCATGCGCATCTACCCTGTTACAAAGTAGGTATACGATTTTGTAATATTTCACGGTTTTAATTATTCGAAAAACTAACAAGAGTGGCCATTTGTATTCGTTTTACTTTATTTCTTAATGTACCTATACTAATTTATTACACTTTTTGTTATAATCTTTGTTATAACCTCAAATGAGTCAAGCGGTTAAAAACCGCTGTAAACCGCAAAACTACTGAGTAGAGCGATATGAGCAGAGCTAGAACCACCTTCACCGTCACCCTCCCGCACCCCTATGACACCTTATTTTATCTACTGCGCAGCCATCTGTACGCAACTTCATGTTTAATATTTTTTTTACGTTTAGTAGTACAACAGCAACAAAACCACCCCATTTCTATCAATTGATTTATAACTTTATTCCAAGCTCATTGAATTGAAAATGTATTGAATAATTTTGACAGTTTGAAACAGGTTGACGAACGACTGGCTTCTAATGAAGTATACATATTTTATTAGCGTTGCACATTATCGATTTAGTAAGTTTTATTGATAGTGTTTGTATCAACATGGATAATTATAACTAAAATTATCGATAGATATCGACTATTTCAGCTTATCGATTAGAAATTGTAGATAATTTGATATTTTTTTATACATGACTGGTCAGTTTTTTCTTCAGTAAAGTAATCGAAAGCACGACAGACAAACATGGGCTTCTACCGAACTAAATTAAAAATTCTAATTCTTGGTGATATGTCATAGAGATTGGAAAACAAGTTTTCCTAAAAAAAATTGTAACATATTTTCTTTGGTATTAGCCGGTAAACGAGCAGATGGATTACCTGTGATGGTGAGCAATTGGTGCCGCCCATGGACACCCGAAACACCAAAGATGTTACAAGTGCGTTACCAGCCTTTTGGGAATTAGAAATTTGAGGATCATTGGGGATCCGGAGATTCGGGGATTGGTAAGAGGGGGAGGGGGAGTTAATTGGGCTTCCGGCAAGTTCACTTACACGATGAAACTCATGGCAAATGTTATTTCACGTCGGTTTCCTGTGAGAATGTGGTATCACTCTGGTCGAAACAGCCCATTCGTGCCGAAGCAAGGCTCTCTCAGACTAATAATGGTTGCCGTAAACCAAGGTTTATAATATAATATTTTATTTTTTTTGCCTACTCCTTCAGAGAATATGAGGTATAATGTTACATTCAAGTTTTTAAATTCTTATACAACTGTAAATTTAAAAATATTATTAATTAAGTTATTAATACAATCGATGACATAATTCTAAAATTCATAATAAATATAAAATCGACTAAGTAAAAGTTATTTCACAGCACTATTACTAATGTCAGTTCAACTTCTTGACATTTTCGGCCATAAATCTTATTTTGTTTATTTTGAATTTGAACTGAACGAAAACAAAACTAAATTAGAAAGTTTATAACAGAAAAGTTTAAAAAATGTAATCGATAACGGCTTTAATAATTAAAAGAAGATTTCTTATTAATCTTATAAAGATGTGTGATATAGACGATTCTATATTTTTTTCTGAAACACCTATTTTAGAAAAGTTTTTTTCAATCTTAGAGGGAGGCGCGGTAAATTATTGTATTGTGTGTTTAAGGACTGAAAATGAAAGATTATTAGTGCGACCTCAGTACTTTACACGATTCGCGCGCGCTGTGAAAATTGATAAATACTGGAAGGTAACAATTATTTTTAACTTTTAGTTGTTTTACAAAAAAAAAACGAATTCAATTGCTTACTTGAGTAACCGTTTAGCGAACATAATTAATTAATTTAATATCTCACGATATAAAAAAAAATATTAAAAAAAAATAAAATACATAAGTTATTATAAAATACAAAGCGAATTTTTTATCTGTTATTGCACATATATTGCGATGGCGACGGACTGTTAATAATATAGTTCTATTTGCAACTAAAGTATAATTATTACAGGAGCAAATGCTTGATTTAAAGTACTAACATTTTGATTATTAAGTTATAATTTAATTTCCATTCAGAACGAATATATTAAACTTATTTAATTTAAAGCTAAGCTCGATAACATTTACTCAAGTTTTCTCGTCCTCTTTAAATAATGAAAGCTATAATGTCCACATTTGGCTACAGTTGGACATAACAGATTATGAAACAGCATTGCTGTCCAGTCAAATATGTAATCTCATAATTATCTCTTACTGCACCCATGAGAAGAGTTAGGGTAGTTTTTTTCTACATTGCTAAGCTGGTTGCGTCTCAAATTCGACTGCCGGCCAAGGGGTCTCGGGTTTGATTCCAGAGTCAAGCAAAGTATTTCTGGGTTTTAAAAAAAATCTCAATAGTAGCACAGAGTCTGGAAGTACCTGGTATATGGCAATAGGCTCACTCTCTATTACATGGGACTCATAACATAAATAGTGAAAAGTGGGTGTTACATTGTACAGTAGCATTAAGTGCTGTAATGTGCACCTCTGCCTAACCCTTCGGGGATAAAAAGCGTGATGTTATGCTAAGCTGGTTAGGCTATACCACCTTCTAAATTCTTTTACAGCACAATTACATTTGCAATTACTGTGAGAGGCAAGCATATGTTGCGCTTCGGTTCTATACAGCGACCAAGCTGTCGGCTTCGGTAGATACAATCTTTGCAGAGCTGTTGTATCAGAAGAAACGGAAGGTAGCCAACGTGTTCAGTGAGAGGCAGTTCCGAAATATACTATGGAGTTGTGATGTGGTAAGTTGTTATCGTTTTTTATTAAATCCTGTGTCCGCGACTTCGGCCGCATGGAATAGCGATTCACAGCTCCTCCCCCATAGGTAGGGTTGCCATGCTATAAAATACAAAGGCCGGACTCCACACTATATAAGGCCGGACATTTTGCCCTAAAAGCCGGACATGATTTTTTATTGCCAAGCTATGTTTTTACAGCTGGGCTGTTGAAAAGAGTATTTATACGTGATGTTAGATGGACATGGACATACATGTTTGGATGGACATAATATCAAAGTCAAAGTTATTTATTGCAAACATAGGTAATAAGTACATAATACAGGTGAAGCATATATAAAAAAAATATAATGACTGCACGGTTGGTGCGGTGGCTGGGCAACCAGCTGCCGTGCAACGTGTCGCGGGTTCGATTCCCGCACGGGACAACACTTTGTGTGATCCACAGATTGTTGTTCCGGGTCTGGGTGTCATTGTGTATGTGAACTTGTATGTTTGTAAACGCACCCACGACACAGGAGAAAATCCTAGTGTGGGGCAACGTTTAAAAAAAAAAAAAATAGTGCGCTATGTTTTGCCTGTCGGCATGCTAGGTATTAAGAAAATGTCAGATATAGATATATATAAAAGAAAGACGTGTTAGTTACACCACTTATAACGCAAAAACGGCAGAATAGATTTGGCTGAAAATTGGTAGGGAGGTAGCTTAGAGCCAGGAGACCGACATAGGATACTTTTTAACCAATACTTTTTTTACTTTTTACCGAAAATCACGAACGGGGACGGGAAAAAAATGGGATTACGCGTACGAAGTCGCGGGCAGAAGCTAGTTTATTAAAAAAAAACTCGTTTACGAATTTGAAATGTTTATTACAGTTTTACTTATAAATGAATCATAAGTCTTTTGTAGATTATTAAGTATTATTAAAACTAAAAAAACAAACGAATATAGCTCTCTTTTGGCATTCATAATACTAAAAACTAAAAAATATAATAAAACAAATAAAAATAACCGTTCTACTGGAAAGTAATAAAAGGATAATATTAATTTTACGGCTAGATAAGAATTTACTTTAGAATAAGAATAAGAAATAACGTTTATAGTACCTAGGTATTTATAGAACAATCTAAAATCTGACAAAAAGCCTGTCAAAAGCCGGACAGGTATAACACGTACATATTTGGCCGGACGCGACCGCAAAAAGCCAAACATGTCCGGCTAAAGCCGGACATCTGGCAAACCAACACGTAGGTGATAGCGTGATAATTATGTAGCCTTTTTATAATAACTATCGTGAGACATACTAAATTAACTAAAAATCGCGGGTTTCTCACGTGAATATAGGTCCTGAGAAAAGCTCTACTAGTTTCGAACTACAGAGGGGTTCATTCCTAGATGAGGCTAAACATTTTGTTTATGTCTTGCCGGTCCAGTATTCGTAAGTGGGTAGCTACGACTGGTGAGCAAGGTGTCTATCTAATACTATTGTAATTCAGCCATAGTAACTACTTTCAAAAGTCTCTGCCTACTCTCTTGGGAGACAGACATGAAGTTATATACCTATGTTAGTTTTTACCTATATAACTACTTACATTAACTAAAATCGCGGGTTATTCACGTGAATATACTGAGGAAAGCTCTACTAGTTTCGAACCACAGAGGGGTTATCACTCACTGTCAGTAGGCTGCGCGACATCGCCGCGACCGCGCACGCTGCTCATGAAGAAGAACCCTTCTGTAGTTCAATAGTAGTAGAACTTTTCTCATAATATTCACGAGAGTAACCCGCGATTTTTAGTTAATTTACTTAGTATGTCTCACGATAGTTATTATAAAAACAGAACTACTTTCAATCTGAAATCGGACAAAGTATAATAATCGATAAATGCTTAATTTTTATTTTAATGTCCGTCTGGTAGATTATTTTAAATCATTAGACACGTATTTTTTATTTTCTTACAGAAACGAATACTTTCGACGATATATTGATTTGAAATGTTGCGTGACGTCACTTCTATATACATTTTATACGTAGAAATGACGTTTTAGCCCCCACTCCTAAACATTGATCCGTTTTATTTATGTAGCGTTTTATATTACGACAATATAAAAAATTCGTGTCTAATATTGTTTCATTACCTAACTGACGGACTAATTATATTTTTAATTTTCATACCCTGTCATCATTCCTATTGTGACTGTTTTTCGAACATCTCGATATTAGCTCAGGTTTACCTCCTGTTACATGTGATGCAATTACTGTAACTGTTCCCTTTCTACGATTCGGACTAGGTCAAGGAATTCGGAATTTGATATTATAATTTTGATTATAATTCTGATGTAAATAAGGTTAAAAATACAAGTTCAATTTTTTTTTTATTAAATTAAACTGTCAAACACCAAGCGGTCACCGGTGACCGCAACCTATTGTTCTATAATTGTGTCTATAATGACCATACTCGACGAGTTAATCAACACATCCTAACAAGTTACAACCAAGGCGATAATATTGTCACTG